AGCCAGTTTTTATTTCATGTGACTCAGGCATGTCCTGGTCAATGACTATACTGTTCAGTTAAAATTATGTAGCTAAGGGGTAAATTATGGCCTTAGTTAGAAAAAGGCTGTCAACATAACTGAGTTTAATTTCAACAACAGTATGTCTTTTCCCTTGTGCTCTTCTTGGCAGGGCTTAAGAGTGCAACCTCTGTCACGAGTGTTGACTGTGTCCTGAATAATTTGTGATACGTAAAAGCAAATTGAATTTCACAGATCTCCCATTTTCAACTGCACATGCTTAAAACAGAGTTTCCTCTATTTGCAGATGTAGAGAGAGCTTGGTATCTGTTGCTTTCCCATTTTAAACAGATTATATTTGAGAGATTATTTTTTTATGGCCTCTACGAATAAATTCATCAGCCATAATCAACCATCAATCATTCTTGTCAACAAGTAATTAAATAAATTGTCCCTATCCGTATGTCTCTGGCATTAAATGCTGAACTAACACATTTGGATACAAATATTTAAAGTGCCTGATATCTGGTTATAAAACGCAGCCCTGTTGACATTTTGATACAAAAATGTTTACAATGAAACTATAATCTGCCACGAAAAAAAAATAATTTGCAAAAAATGTACACAATAATGAACAATAGGACTTCTGAGAGGTCACTGTATTTATAAAAAATGAACTCTGCACCAACATTTGTGTTTCTGGTAACAGGTCATTGGAGCGCTCATTCTTTTCTTAAAGCATTACACTATTTCTGTACTGTTTCTGTGTCTTAGCGCAGTCAGCTTGTGATCATTTGGATCTGTGTGACTGACTCAGACAGAGAGAAGGCCAGTCATGAGACCGCTCAGTGAAAGCGAACAATATGATGTGGTAAAGTCATCCTCAAGGCTTTATCACCAGACTCTTATAGAGATGCAATTTTTGGATTTTTTTAAATGGAAAGCCAGAACAGTGAAGAATGGAAAAGACACATATATGGCATACATGGTTAGGACTCAAAGGTGGAGTTTTGCGGGCCAGTACGACTCACTCCTCTTCCAGTCACAGGAAGCCAGTAGGAATGAGAGGAATGCAGTCAGGCAATACGGTGATGGAGGGAGCAGCAGTTGCAGGGCAAATTGCCAAAAAAAAGTGAAAGAAAAGGAGGGAGTCAGGGAAATGATAGTGAGAAAGTGATTAGGGAGTGAAAAAAGGCTAGGGCACGAATAGTTAAGATGCATGGCTCCAGAGCCGCAATGACACATGTAAGAGTAATTGTTTCGCTCTGATCTTTACACAGTTTAATGGCTAATGTGGGGGATATTGGAGTCAATGACGGAAGTGCCAAGGTACATTTGTGTGACCCCTGGAATGTGTGGAGTTATCAGTCAAACACATTTCCTGGTATCAGGAGGCTTCGGGTCCGCATTCAAGAATGTGTTATTCACTATGCAGCGGGTCATACTACCTCACATGCACACACATATCGCAAATTAACACATGCACACAGAAACACATAACACAGCCGCAGTTACATCTGTTTTTTCTTTTTTTAAGCTCATTGTTTTGCTTTTACTGCCACTTTCGCTGCACTAATCAAACCTGATAAGGCAGATTATTTGGCCTGCAAGTAACAAATGGTTGTTTTCATTATCGATTTATTTTCTAGATTGCTGTACACTAATTCATTGATTTTGTCAGAAGAAAGTAAAAAATGCCTAGTTATTGTCATGTAGCTCAAAGAAATTCAGTGCACTTTAAAATAAAACTGAAAAGCAGGGCATCTGTTTCTAAATGATCAATAGGTAGACCAATCATTGCAAGTCAATTAATTTTATTGTGTGGACAAGCTCAGGATTGATCTCAGTCGATACAGTATAACTGTACTCAGCTTTCCGAGCACAAAGCAGCAGACAGGCAGAGTAAGCAACTCGCTGGTGAACATGGTGAAGCATTAAGCTGCTGAAGAGCCAAATCCCTCAGTTGTTGGAGGACACCAGAAACACAAACACTTTCAAAGGAAATAATCTATCAATGTTGTTCCACTTCCCCAAATGGCCAAAAATAGCAGTTTATGCAGCTTTAAATCCCTATAGTTGAATGATTAAAAGAGAAAAGACATTCAACCAAACTATGAATCTACAGATCGTTGCCTTGTTGTATACATAAAAGAAAAAATGCTCCATTACGCATGTAAAACAGTGGTTGTGAAGTTCTTTAACTTTGCTTAAAAGAACATTTCACGTGAGCAGGTAGGCCACGCGAAGCTCCTGCTGGCAGCTGTGAGGTGACTTTGAAGCGAGAACGTGCTGGAGGCCGCTCGTTGCGGTGCGAGCTCTCTAAAGCCTTTCCATTCCAAACAGCAAAGCAGAGTCAACCCACAGAGGGGATACATAGCATTCAGCACTCGCCTAGTTTCTCTGGAAACTGACTGTGATGCTGGAAAGTGTTGCTTTACGACGCCTTCACACTCCTGTGTGCACACGTGTGGAAAAAGGTCAAAACATAAGAGTTGAGAACAGTGTGTACCCCTTTGAAAAGGTTTGTGGCGAATCTCTAAATTACATGTCAAACTGAAAAACCTGAGAGGTGACGATTTCACTGAAACCGCTGTGAAGTGAATGCTCATTTTGAAATCTCCTTACAATGTACATTCTTTATTGGGCTGTTGATACATTGAGAACTTTTATTTTCTAACATCCACATTTAATGAGAGAAAGTATACATTTGCAACAAGTAGAGTGCCATATATAATGCATGGGGTGATTATGTAAAGGAATGTAGTAAAAAGCTCAACCTATCATTAACATTAACTTTATACTTCCTTCTAAAAGGGGTTTCCATCGCCGTATAGTTGTTGTTGTTGTTGTTGTTGTTGTTGTTGTTGTTGCCACTATAAATCTCTTCATCCACTCAAAAAAATGTTGGCCTTTTTTTCATGTACAATTAAACTTCCCAATAGCAGTTACATTTCATATCCAGCGGATTCTTGCAATTTTCCACAAGGGGATGATACACAAATAAATGACTGCATTATTGATTGTTATCTAAAGAGTAACAACTGCTTGTTCAGGTGAACTTACTGTCAACCACATATTTGGAGATCCTTTTTTAATTCCTTTACAGCGCTCACTTGACCTCAGTTGGCAGCCATTGCTGTGATGAAGAACGGTCTTAAGAACGGAGAGGTGAACTTTTTTGGGTCGTCAAGATTTTATTATAAATCCTGATTAGTGTACTGGCTAAGCAATTTGGAAAATGTGCTAGAAGAATTACAAATGCAGTCATTTTGGTGACAGAAAGCAAAGATGCATTTAAGTTTTGATTGATTGGATATTTTTGGATAAAGTTGTCAGTGGTGTGCGTTTCTAAGTTTTATATTAAATGTTTAAAAGAAAAAAACAAATAGTTATAGATATTTATCAAAACGTTTGGTTAGGCTTTAATACTGTATGCAAGATTGATGTCACAGCATTGAAACACACAACGTTGTTTTTCAAGACAGTGTGCCCTAAAGACACAATGTCTTGATTCAGACACTGTGAGACGCAGTGTGACCAGTGACCCTGACAGAGTGAGAGTTACGTCCCTGAGGGCCACTCCCAGCGCTCTGTGGCCTCTTAACCTGCTGCCCCTCGACCTTTGCAAACCAAACAAACTCAGTCCGATGATTTATCACAATGACAGATATATCCACCATCAAGTTCATCAAGACATTTTTACAGCTTTGCTGCTGAGACTGATTTTCCACGTTGGACGTTTCTTTTTTCTCCCGCGATATAATTAAAGATGCCTTCAGTTATCATATTGCGATTGGCAAATCAATTATTATGAGATAATCTGAGGTACAGGCGATTGATCATGCTTGAAGGTTGATTTGCTAGAACACATATCAAACTGCATGTTTTTGATGGGGTGGAATCTCTCTGTTTTTGTATCAGTTTAAAACTCCCTAAAACAGACATCTGTGTTCATCACCACAGGCTAAATAAACCATGAATGTTATCATTATACTCCTATTATCTTTCAGAGAGAGGAGTTACAGTCTAATTTATAGCCCAACAAACCACGTACACAAGTCTCTAAAAATGGAGCAGCACCAAGAGTAAAAATAGAGCAAAAATTTCGTGTTTTGGGCGAGAGAGGCTGAGGCCAGCATTTCATCTTATGCAGGAAGATTTATGTACAGAGCACAAAAACAAGGAAGGAGCGGTGAAAAACTAAACCTGCAGGAGACTCTTCTTACTTTATAATGAGATTGACCAAGAATGTGTAAAGCATGTGGCAGTACTGATGTGATGCATAGGGCTTGTCCAGACTTCTGTGTCCTGGGCAAAAATTCACAAATAAGATGAATCAGGCACATCAACTTTTTTTCCAATTTTTGCTGTACTTGCCTAAAGGTCCATCAGCACAGAGGACAGCCGCTGTTGTGACAGCAACTCTCACTGTGTCACATCTTTACATTTTTCTGGGCAAATACTCTTTCTCATTTCCGTCTCTTTGATCCGTCTAACTTAGTATTACAGTGAGGGACTGTTGTTGTGCGTCTCCCTCATTCTTTGCACTTTAATACTTTTTCTGGACAGACTAGCTCTCCAGGGTGGGTGGGTCTGTTTCCAATTTTCACCCCTTCCCCGTCCTGAGAAAGGACACTTTGAAAACCAAACAAATAAAAAACCCAAAAATGAGCTACAGTTATTTCCTTTTTTCTCGCTGCTGCTCACCACAATGTTTCTTCTTGCACATTTTATGTGATTTGCAGATATAGGAATGTAAAGTGTAGCAGCTTCACTTGAACAAACCTAAAAACATCTTAAATGAAGCAAAACAAAAACTGACCATCTGCCGATAGTCACAGTGAAGATGAACCAAAGCAACAAAAAGATACAACACTTTTTCCTCAGCAGCTAAACTTCTAAAATCCTCTCTTTAAAATATAATAAGATGCCAAACTTCCAATTCAGTCATAACAGAACACTTTTTCACAGATTGATATATGATGTGAACATTTGCCTACCAGTTTTGGGTGCTGACATCCAAAGAGGGGTCCGTCAACAAGCCAGTCCGTCACAGAGGCCGTGGTC